TGAGTCAACCCTGAGCCGGTGAGATTTGAACCGCTGACCTGCTGATCTAGCAGTAGCCTGCAGTGCTGCATTTAACCACTGCGCCACCTTGGCTCTTATGGGGACTGCTATAATCTAAAGCAGTGTTTCTCACTGATCTAAAGAGTCTAGCTGTCTTTTATATCTAATTGAATATATTTATGTTTCAGATGCATATAAAAATGACAGTATGTAGTAGTAAATGTATAAAAATGAATAAGCTACAATCACAATTTCTTTGTATGCTACAATGTCATATAATAATGCCTCTTATGACATAGTTCTCCTCAACATTTAATTGGTTGCAGTATCTTGATACACAATGAAGCAATGCAGGAATGAAAGAAATCCTGAAGGGGGAATGCAGAGAGGTGTATCTCACCTTGAAAATCTTACAATGTGTAATACTGAACATTGGTTAGGCATAATTTATAAATTACTAGTAAAATATGAGCCAGAATCCAAACATCCATGCAACACATGCAGTCTAAAAGATTGTATGGTTACGGATGCAGCATTTAAATATACTTACAGACAGTTTCAGTGGTAGAAGGAGGAACAAAAGGAAATATATGCAGGCATGAATCAGGGCCATTATGCAACTATTGATATGTTTGTTTCTTTTCTTCAATCTTATTCTCTGAAAATGCCAAATGTTGCAAAAATTAGAACATTGGGGGGATTTAGATGGTCATTTAAGAGAATAAAGTAGTACTTATGGCATTAGGAGTTAATGATTTAAATAACATTGAAAAACTGTACAGTTAAAAAGCATTGAGTAAAATAAGCATAGAATAGCCTGATCTGTTAACAAATATGCAAATATAATTATAATATGATGTTTTACAACATATTTTGAATACTTTAGGATTTTCTCCTTAGACACATTTTTTTTTTACATTATCTCTCTGTGAGCCTAAAGCAACATTGGCCTTCTTTAATATTAATGTACTCTACTAGAAGATGCTGCTTCTTTGCCTCTGATTAATGCTGCCTGTCAATTATTTACAGATCCTGTGGTTTTGTGGAAGTTCCCGGAGGACTTTGGAGACCAGGTTAGACATGTGAGATTGATCCTTTTAAAATGACAGAGTAGTAAATGTAATAACAACAATAATAATACCAACATCATTTTTGTCTCTGTAGCAGCCTTCCTACTGAGGTGGAGAAAGGCAGATGGTTGGGAATGGCAGTGAGAGAATTTTCACCAGCTGATTGTATTATTAGAATCTGTTTTGCTGCTTGAAACATTACACAGGATATTAGTTACTTTCATGGCCTTATTAAGTTAACGCCATGGATGTATGTGTGGATGTATCTGATGGAATTGTTTTTCCTACTATTATTAATAACCTTCCTGTGGACTACATTAGTGTAATTATGATTGATATAAAAACATTAAAATCATCACCAGGTACATAACTTTATCAATAAGCTCAGGTGGTGATTTTAGACATATTTATCCACACAATACAGATAAATCAGCTCAGTTATGAATGTTTCATGACAGCTCAACCCATGGGTGGTAGAAATGTCATACACCAGTGTTTCTCAACGTTGAGAGCCTGAAGATGTGTAGACTTCAACTTCCAGAATTCCCCAGTCAGCCATACTAGCTGGGGAACTGTGGGAGTTGGAAGTCCATGTATCTTCAAACTCTCAAGGCTGAGAAACGCTGTCCTATACGTATGCCACAGTGTCAGTTAGCTTACACCAGGGATGTTACACTTTCAGCCCGTGTCCCAGATGCATCACGCACTGGCCACACCCACCCCTCTTTTTAGCAAAGGGGAAAAAAGTCAAGATACGTCACATGACGACAATGTGATAGCGCAAGTTTGATACCCCTGTCTTACATCTAAGGCCAAACAGGTTGAGCTAAATATCAATGGTTTTGAATGCCTTTTTCACAGAAATCTGTAATATTCAGTGCATAAAATATTTATCAGAGGTGTTCAGTCCAGGTTCTGAGGACACATAGTTTCAGAGTCCCTTCAAAATTTACAAACTATAATTCTTAGTTTGACAGGAGGCCAGTTATTAAATACACAGGCAATAATCTGTAACCTGATTTAATTCAGTTCAATTTATGTAAGTGATGAATTTAATAGATAATAGAAATTAAAAATTTGATTTTACATTGGCCTCTCCTGCTTTTTTGTTTATATCATTTTTGATATACATTATTATTTTTAACAATCTATTCTACCAAATTATGAGAGTCTGGGTACAAATTTGTACTCAACAACACTGATTGTTATTAACAACAGCACATGTTCATAAAAGCACTAAAATTTCAATTTAATTTTAATTCTGGGATTGTTTTTTTGACAATTTTTCACAGAATAATAGAAGTTGAACTCTGTTTCAGCAGACAGAAACTTCATTTGCAGAATGAAATTAATTTATCTTTGACTGAGAGCAAAGTTTGTTACTTTTAGCCTTACTATCTTAATGATGGTTTAATCTCAAAGGCATACTGCAGTTCATATATATTCATACACTGGGCTTACATGTATAACAAATGTATTATACTTGCAATTAATATTTTATTTCTTTTACTGTGTTAATTAAGAACTTAGGTAGATTTTCCTTTGAAGCCCTATAGATACAGTTCTTGAAAACAGAAAAAGAGAATTTTTTTTTTGCTTGGGAGAAGGAGAAAAAAGATTAATTCCCTCCCCCATCAATCTGATCAAGGTAGATGGGTGGCCTTCTGCTGTCTACCACATAACCAATCAACTGAGTGAGGAAGAAAAGTGGATATAGATTTTTAGCACAAAGAGAACATGAAGGATGAAGGGGCCTTGCAGCTGATCATATATGGTGCATATAATATGAGAAAACTGTCATATTATATAAGTGCACCTTATAGTTTATTAAAGTGTAAACAAAGTTTAAAAGGTGCAACTATTTTTGCCTAACTATTCATGCTTCCTTTCAATTTTCTTGAAAGTGGCAGTCTTTGTATTTCTGTAATAAATTTAAAAATATTTTCATCCTGACTCTTGGATTGTTTGATACCAGTAGCCCTTTTGTAGATCCCGATTTCCATAAAGAAAACTAATATTTATTTATATTTATTTACTGTGTATCCTGTATTTTTTTTCTATTTTAACTATTATGATTAACTTTGCTTTATTCGTGTGATAATCACCATCTGAAATTAATATTATATGGCTTCCCCCATTTTTTGTTTCCTTCAAATATTTATAAAATAATTGACATATTTTAGATCAAAATATCACCCCCTAAGATCAAAATCATGATTAAAGTACCTTCCAATATTCCGCTATAGAAGCAGTTTGGTTTTCAAAGCTTTGTTCTTTTGGCCCTGAAATTGAAATTCTCCCCGACCCCCGGAATAGTTAAATTAAAAGCTTAAAAGTTCATGTTAACTTCTTTATTTTCTTTCTTCCTCCTTCCCTGTGAGTAGGCAAGGAACTATACGGAGAAGTATGTTGGATCATTATTCACTAAAGCCCTATTTGCTCTTCCATGTTTTCAGAAGCACATAAAACGTTAGGAAACTTCAAAGCAGAATTTTGGGCAGCCATTTTGCTACTTGCCCGTTGCTCACTACTTCCTGGAAGGATTTATTTGCCAGGTGAAGGAAGAGCAGTTGAGTCTGGGATCACCATTATTTGAATTAGGTTTAGTTGAGAGGGTACCCATTGTCGTCAGTCCCTATTTTATAGCTTCTGTTCTAGCTAACTGAAGATAAGTAAGCACTGATTTATCCCCCTCTCCCTGGCAAATCATTACAATATGATATTCCACAACACACATAAATCTATTCATTTCTCCTCTGCCAGCCATTCGTGTCCCTTCTTCTTTCTGATTTATAAATATATTTTTTTTTCTTGTTTGTCCTTTGATTCCTGGAAAAGAACCTTTTAGTCAGTCTTAACTTCAGGACGTGGCCCAGGAGTTCTGTTTCTAAAAAGGAAGTTCTTCAATATGAAAAGAAAGCGTATGTGATTTTCCCATATTCCTGTAATCTTCTGCTGCTCTCATTTTTATTAGTCCAGCTACTAAAATGCAGAGTACAGAGTCTTTTAATGACACACCATAAGCCCACTCTGCTTTCCTTCCATCCTAGCTTTCAAAGTCCAATAAAATAAAGATGTCATATTTGGCATAGGTATATATTCTCTTCTAACTCTCTTCTTGATTTCAGTGTGCCTAATGTCAGCTTGAAGGATGCCCAGGTATTTGTAGTGGCCATGGCCATCCCAGATTCTTGATGTGATTTTGATACAGCATCTCCAAACTCCATTGCAATATCTTGACTTTACATATGGACAGTGTAGAAGAGCGATTCTATTTTGGCTGGTGGAGAAATAACAACTCCAGACCTTTGGAGAAGCACTGGGAAGATTTCTGTGCCAGGAGCAACCTTATCTTTCTGAACATGCTGTATTAAGGCATCTGGTTTGCTTTTGCAGGGGTAATATTCTTTATATTGTCTCTGCATAAAAAAAGAAAGCGAAACCAAAATTCTAAACAGAAACAAAGGCTCTTGGAATGACAAGATGAAAATTTCTTCAATAAACCTACAGTAATAAGGCTTTGAGGAGGAAAGTCCGTATTGAATCCAGCAAATGCATTATGGAAGAACCACTTGATCTTATCATTTGCTTATCTCAATATGGAATCACCATGCAGAACTAGTGTTCAGTAATATACTTATTATGGATGGCTACTTGCTCTTGAAGTTTGACATTAAGCAACAGAATAAGCATGGATACTTCCTGAAAATTAGGCAGTTGGTTAGGTTTCTTGGGATAAAAATTTGAAATATGAATACTTTATTAATTGAAAGGCATGATACGTAACCAGAGCTGGGCAATAGCTGTTCAGTTATGGTTCAAAATTTCAGTTCTCTCATTGGCTCTCACTTTTCTCTTAGCATGTTTGTGAGGATATTTCACTCCTGTTGCTGATTAACTGCAACAAAACCTAAACTAGGGTTTCTGAAACTATTCAGCTTTCTAATCCAGAAAATTTAGTTAACAGAGAACAAAAAAAGTGAAAAATTAGCCCATTTTCTTCTTTGCTGTTTTTCCCTTTCTTTTTTCTCAACTGGACTGTACTTAAATGGAAACAAGGCAGTGGTGGTGTGGGAATCCCGTTCCAACTGGTACGGTTGGAACGGGGCCAGCGGCGTCCTCATGGACGCATGCAGTGCGGGTGCACAGGTGCGCAGCACGTGCCTGTGTCTTAGTGCCTCCGCGATGCTCTCCAATGCTCCAGTTGCTCCGCGGAGCATCGCACAGGTGCTCTATGCGCCATGGGCCTCCGCGGAGTCGCAGAAGCCTCTAAACACCTGTAAGGAGCTCGGGCGGGCGGGTGGGCCCTCCAGAGCACCATATCGGAACGGTATCTGGTGCTCCGGGCTGGCTCTGGTATGCCCGTACCGGGGTGTACTGCCTGCAACCCACCACTGAAACAAGGGCTACAAAAATTGTGTTATTTGTATAAGTTATCCTAAATGATTCTAGAAAGATGCCTAATTTTGTTATAACTTTCCAGATAAGAATCCTAGACATCTAATGTGATATCATCAGATTTCGAGAGCCTTGAAGTTTTTGTGTGATTAGACAACTGTTCTTAACATTTGTTAAAATATGTACATGGCACTACGGAAACGTTAGGAAGATNTGCTTGTCAGGACGTGGCAAAAGGGGATCCCGTGACCCTGGGGACACGGCAGCTGTCATAAATCAGTTGTCAAGCATCTGAATATAAACCATGTGACACCATGGGGATGTATGGAAAATGGTCATAAATCACTTTTTTATAGTTTTCAAATTGTAACCCAAGTGTAATCAGGAGAGGGGTCTCTTTAGTTCCATAGAAACAAAAGAAGCCCTGGGGGGGTCTCTTAATTTAAAGATTTTGAGTCTCTTTGATTTTTGCAAACTAGATACAGGATGAACAGAGTTCCTTAAATCTTCTTGCCTGAGAAAAAGCAGCAGGACCTTTAAGCTCCTTTCTCCATGAATGGCTGGAGTGCCTGGGCAGCTTGTTCTAAATATCACAACATATAGGC